ATGATCTCTAGAGGTCCCTGCCAACCTCAATCACTCTGTGATTCTGCAATCTGTGTGCAGGCTCTAGCATGAGATGACCGAAATTTGAAGCCATGCACCACTGCAGCGAATTGCACCACTGCTGCAATTTCAGCAGTGTGGCTGCCACGAACATATGCTATAAATGGTCATATTGCAAATATTATCTGCAGCCTGACTAATCTGAGCCCACTGCTTGTTCATTAAAGTGACATAACAAATATGAATTTTTGTTCCTCCTGAATTGTCATTTAAAATTTACATGATTCTGTCTGATTGGGTGACCTCTTTAATAAACAGGGAGATCCTACTCTTCCACTCTTAAATTATCCACTAGCTATTTTAAGTATTAAGCAACTCTAATATGAGAATGATAAAATAATAATGCTCTGAATAATAATGATAATAATGGGTGCATAATAAAAATGTTTTTAGAAGAGTTTGAAGATCATTCAAACATAAATATTCAGGAACGCTTTTTCGCATTACGGTTTTCAATATTCACCATTATATACAAAATAGACTCTTACTCAGGGGTCAGGGAACACAGAGGTGGAAGCAGCAATGACACTGAGAGAGACTGATTACAACAGTAACATTCATTTTTACTAGATTTGTTCTACTCTGTTTTGGGATGGAGGAATAGCAATTGCGTATATGTATAACAACCGGAATTATATAGGATATAGTCACCATTAACATAAAGCTACAGTCTATAGAAGAAGAAGTGATATCATTTAACTCTTAAATTTGGGATCTAATTTAGCAGTGAGTTGCAGTTCTAATTTTAATGAGGTTTTACAGATGTGTCCTGGGGCAGAGTTCTCCTTTACTGACGTTCACTTGTCCTTTATTGCCACTTCATGGCTCAAGAAAAAGCTATGTTTTGCTTCATGTTATGACTTTCATTCATATTTGAGATGATTTGAAGGTTATTGATTCTGGTTTTCTGGACAGAAATAAAATTACACTTCACCATTGTTTTTTCATGTTGAAGATTTTGTTAATTCGCTTCCAGCAAATTAGGAGTTGGGATTTGGATTTCAGTATACCTAATCACATTTTTAATGCTCACTCCACCTCTCTAAAATAACTAGCAATCCTTTTTCCTCTTTGCAGAGTTGTGATTCAAAATTTCCCCACGTACTGTTCTTAAAACATTTTTATGCTTCAAGAGAAAGCATTAGAGTGGAGTGGTAAAAAAAAAAAATCTGCAATGCATTTGTTATTTGCCCTGTTCTTAAAATCATGACCATCTGCTTTTTGCCCTTGTTTTTGTTCTTAGACAGAACACCTTATTAGCAGGGCTGTTGTCACTGTAGCATGTGTATCATACCCTGAATGATTTGGCTGGAAAGAAAGATGTTATAAAATAAGCTGGGGAAAATGAGACGTTAGAAACACTTCAGATTTTTATATTTATCGGCAGTTACATCCACATCACTTTCAAGCTTTTGCAGAATCTTTTCAGGGAAGAAGAATTCGGGAGAAAATAACTCTTTTGGGGCTAATTCAATAGCAGCATAGCAGAGCGCTCAATAAGAGAAAGTTGACACTACGTGGACCTTTGCATTGAATTTATCTTTGCAATATATGGGCAGAAATTTATTAATGGACAGAAAATAGGCGGTATGAGGTAGGCTTTTGCAGAGTTAGCTCTTCTCACAGTGTTGTGTGAGGAGTCAGCAGAAAAGATGCTTAGCTGGAACCAGATTCAGAACTTTTCGAGTTGCAAGGGCTTTGTTCTCATCTCTTGCAATACTGCGAATCCCTCCAAGCAAAATCTTTGAAGGCCACCTGGCAGATGGCTTTTGCTGTCCACGCATAGACAATTCCTCATGGGTCTTGTTTAACAGAACACAGTTTTGTCCTGCTCTTATTTATTTATTTACGTATTTACTTATTGCTCTCTCACTACTGAGAGTTTTACCTCTGTTTTTTTGGCACAGATATGCATGTCTGATGTTTCGCTACTATCCAGACAATCAGTTTGCATTCAGTTATCCTTAACTCGGAATCACACATGCATGAAGAATGCAATTAGATTATTGAGATCCTAGAATGTACAAACAGGAAGGGCTCTCTCTTTTCAATTAATTTCAGTCTGACCTTTAGATTTCTAAAAGGACTACCAAACCAGTTTCTACAATGCGAGGAAGAACCTCCTAACTTCCTGCTAGGATCTGGTCCCAGACTTCCCTTGACATCTGGAGGTCCAAAGTTTGTAGCTGACGGCCATATGAAGAGCTGGCACCAAAAAGAGGTCAGACCAAAGAATCCGAAATCTCTTTCCATCCCAAAGCACAACTGAGCCCCAGAATGACAGTCCTTCAGGTGAAAGGCTTCCCAACGGCATAGGTTTCCATACAATCGAAACATTTTGGCTTGACTTGGACCTGCAAAGTGAACAAAATACATTGGCGGGAATAAAAAGAAAAGGGGGAAAAAATACTCCTAACCTCAATTCTCATTCAGTCAGCAATTGCCCTGGGAGGAAAATCTGATGAGATTTCATGAAAAGTTTTTGTTTTGACTGAACTGAGTGAATTGCAAATATACAAAGCCTTTTTACGTGGATTTTTCCCAGAGTTTCTGCTACTTATTTCGCAGTAGGTCCCCATAAAAGTCCCAAATGGGACTGTGAACCAGCTGCAGGAGTTCAGAGCATGAAGACACAAGACTTCCCCCCGGTCTTGGAACACAAAGAAGATCAATATCATCAGCTGGCCAATATTGTTCCAATATCGTCCCAATATCCCAACACCTGTCAGCAAAGAGTAAATGGACCACACCAGAGGCCTCCAGAATGACCAAGAGCCTAAGCAGACAGCAAGCCCACGGAGATACCGTCTAGCAATTTCCCAAGCCAAAATCAGCGAGCCATTATGTGATACTCCTCAGTGGACTTTTCTCATGTGCCTTTACCCAATAGTTTTACGAGACCACAAGAAGCTGACGGTGTGAGAGCTCCCTGAAGAGATGCATTTTCCCTTTTGATCTGAGCCACTACAACAGAGGTTCATTGCAAGCCCTCTAGTCCCTGGATCAGAAGAAATAATGGATTTCCTGTTCCCCTTCCCACATGGCAATTATCATTTCACAGACTTCTGTGCACTTTCAGGCTTCTTTTTTTTTTCCATAGGGAAGTCAAGCTGGGGGAATCTGTTCTTTGTTTCATCCTCATCAGAACCTCTCTTTTACTGTATACCTTGCAAGATCAAGGGATCACAACAGTACCAGATACTGAATATCCAGGGAGTACCACAGACTTGCACAGTGGATAATCACATTTTTTCCTTTTATTTCTTGCTCCTTTCCTGGTATTCCCTAATGTTCAGTTGTTGTTTGTTTGCTTACTGCTACTGTGTGCTGAGCTCACATTTCGTCGCTTCGCTATAACCCCAAGATCTCATACATTAGTAGAAACAGGCAACTCATAACCCTTTTTGTGTAGAGCCAGGATTGTTCTTCCCCTGTGTATTCCTTTACATTTAGCTACACAGCATTTCAGCTGCCTTTTTTGTTCTCCTTTCAGTCTCATAAGATCGTTCTTTGGTTACAGTCCTTATCTTCAAAACCCTGAATAAGGTTAGTATCATCAGTGAGCTTTTATCCTCAGTATTTCCTCCTTTTTCCATAAACATGTTTATGAGATATGATAGAGATATGGATATAGACATAGGTATAGATTGATAGGTATGTTATAACCTTAACATACATGTATGTTATAACCTTAACAGCACAAACCCCTGTCCCTCTCTGACTCTACTGCAGACCTCCTTTTAAAGTGAAACCAAAAATGTACCATTTATTTTTCTCCTCTCTAAAGCAGATTTGGCTTTCCTATCTTTAGACCTCATTAAGTAAAAGTGAATGTGCTATGCTCTTAGCATTTATGCTATAAAACTTTCAGCTCCTGTACTGACTTTCATAATACGACAAATTATATTAAAGTAAAGAAAGGACCAAATGTAGAGTCAGTGGCTGAAAACTGTGTTGGCTAAAATACACTAACTCAGATTTCCAAACATGACAAACGACTTATGCTCTGGAAGTCAAAGTAAATGAAAACTTCTGAAAGACATTCAATATAATTAAGATATTCTTAATGCCTGAACTGGCAGAATTGTTGCAGTCATTTAAGTGAACAACATGCATTTTTCTATATAAAAATAACCTGAGTTTTGCGAAATGAAATACCAAAATTGCATACAAATACCTAAATAAAAAGCCTCAGAGTTCATTTCATGTGCCTGCCACTAAAAAGCATAAAACTCATCTACATAAAATTGCAGAGAGCTGTGCTGCTCAAGAGAGCAGAGCAGTCATATAAATATGTTTTAAAGTACAGTTTCAAAAGCGATTCAGCCACTTAGGAGAATGACCCTCTGTGGCACTTAGCGACACTTTGTGCCATACCGAAGCATCTTGTGTGCATACATTCAAATAAGGCAACACCTGCCTGGCATGAATTTATACTCCTTTCTGGGATTTGAAACTTCTGGGGATAAAATGAAAAAAAAAAAAGTAGAGAAACAAAGCAAAGTACAATTTGCAGGAAAAAAGTTAAAACTGATTGTTTCCGGTCATTGCCAAGGAAGCTGTGAAAATCATTGTTCATATGTAGAAAGGACCTGAAGAAAAGCTTCTGTTGATATCCCACCACACACCTTATCCGCTTTTTCTGTGATACCTGTCATCTAATAAAATGTCACCATCTCATCCCTAAAAACTTTGCCTCATGGGTGCCCTCAGACTGCTGCAGCTGCCTTAATGTTAGGGGATACTTTGTCCTAGTGAAAGAAGGTAGTGTTAGGCAGTCTGGCTTTGCTGGGGAGTGGGGTCTGCAGAATGGGGAATGGGAAATGCACAGTGGGAAACTAAACCAAGAGCTTGCAAATTTTAAGTTCTTTGAAGTTCCAGATCCCAGCAATCACCCTCATTCTGTTTTAACTCTGAGTTACCTTAATATTTTTAAGAGTAAATGAAGTTCCTCCCTGGTAATCAAGGCTTTCTAGAGCATCAGCATGTGATCCATGCAGTATCTTCCTGTGTCAAATGTGCATGTCAATGCACAGTTTAATGCATAGCACTGCATTAGTAGAGATGCTGGCGGCTGGCATCCCTTCTGAGCCCTGGGCACCAGATGAGCCATCCTGCCCCTAAACCAATTCCATCTTCCTTCATGCTGTTGCAAATATAGAGATAACAGAGTTTTTCTCACCTGTCTGAAGCACTGGGATGCACCAGTTTTCAATATAACATGCAATGGAAGTGAAAAGTACTGATAAGAAGCTGGGTTTTTTTATATAGGCTAAACCATAACAAGCAGGGTAATTGCCTCACCTAGAAGAAATCTTATTGATTATACAACAGCATAGCAATTAGGAAACCAGTGTAGATTTATTCTCCTCTTGGCATTTATTTCCCATGTGTCTTTGGACAAATAACCTTTCTAACTGTCACATTGATGAAATGGACGATATTTACAAACCCAAGTACTCAGCTTGCTTGGGTGCAGAGAGACGGGTTTCTGGTGGTGCCCCATAAAGATGGCGCAATCCAGAAAGAGCAAAACCAAAGAGTCCCAGAAATGACTGGCACTGGGTGGGAACATTCATCAGATAAAGTCACCTGCAGTGAACAAATACCAAAATGTTTCCTTATCCTCTCCTTCCATTAAAATAAATAAATTAATAGATAGAATATACCCTCACAAATCCAGATTGTTCAAGAAGATCTCAGCATAAATGTAGTTTTAAGTCTGCATGGAAGCACTCAAAACTCAGACGATGCCACAATCCTGGTCAGCTATGCCACCCTCAGTTCCCAGCAGATTTACTCATACTCCTCTCGAAGTGTGACCAGAACGACACCCCAAGCTGCAGGTCTGTCCAAGGACATGGCTGGAGCTGGCTATGGATCTTCCCAGTGCCCTTACCCACCAGGACCACCTCTGTGTGCAGCCTCCACCACCATCTCCACTCCTGTATCATGCTCCCCTGGTTGCCTGCAACACACTCGCATTTCCACCACCCTCAGCGCTTAACTTAGGACAAAATCGTGGAAGTTTTCCCCAATTCTTATAGACACAGGTGTGTCTGCCTGTGAGGCTGAGTGGCTGGGATTGCAGACAACCATATGGAGAGGGGACAAGAAGTTGGAGCTGCATTTCTCTAAAATCAGCCACTCGAAACTAGGTTGTTCAGTGCAGCCTGTTGGAAGAAAATGTGGTCATTACACAGCTTCGGAAGTGAAATCCATTAGGAAAATGAAATGGGATGAACTGGAGGATTCCAGGCAGGAAAAGTACATTTGTTTTGCCAAAAGAAGTATATTCCTGCAGTGATTCCCAAATAGGTGGGTGAAATCATTTATTCTGCTGCACTTGTGTCGTTTGCTTAGAGATCTGTGCACGATCCTACCGTGCGATTCCAACAGCAGCATCTCCTCTGCTGCTCAAGGCCATACACTTCTTTCAAGCCCTACATGTTTTCTGTTTGAGGTGCATGTTTCCAGGCTGCTATGCACCGCTGCACTGGATCATGCAGACACAGGAAGCTCTCCTGCAGGCTCAGTATGCTCTTCGAAAGCTCATCTCAGGCTCTGCTCACATCTCCAGCCCCACGTGAGTCATCTGCATCCCCAGTTCCTGATCTCTCCCCTCTACAACCCGACAAGCGCAGCTGGATGGCCCACATACGTGCGCTCAGGGGCCAGGAGATGCGTGCAACATCCCTGCTCTGGGGTGAAAATTGCCCCTAGAGAAGCAGAGCAGGAGGTAAGGGGCAAACAACCTTGGACTGGATCGTGTTTTTATAGCATTTGGCCAACTCTTACAGGACTATCTGTCTCTTTGGAAGCAATGAGATTTGCATTAACTATGAAGTTGTTAGTGAATGAGAGCAAGAGTGGCAGAATCTAACCCAAAACTGTGCTCATCAAAAGAAAGAAACTCATTGTACAGCATAGCCCTCCGTTAATGTTCTAGGATTTATCACAGACCATCCTGTAGGCGTTACTAAAATAAAACAGCAAAGATTAACTGAATCTTCTATTAGACTTAACATATTGCTATCATTTACTTATTGCTCACATCTTGCTGTTACTGTTGACTCTCTGCACATGGCTAAAACTTGTGTTCAGAGATTTGGAGTCTACCTGGTACCTCCACAGCTGTTACATCTTGGCTGGGTAGTTCAGATCAATCTGGAGCTACTGGAGAAACAATAGACCAGATGAAAACATCTGGCACACAAAACCCTCTCCGCGCTTCACATTGTACCTCTCATCACTATACCATGGAGAAATGCTTCATGCAAACCCATGAGGGTGAGAAGATGCAGTGGGTGCATTTGGCAAAATGATATTAAAAGCCACATTCTACACTACTCCTTTCGCAGAGTTGTGTGAATTAATGAAATTGCTGGTCCAGGTGTGCTTCAGCATTTAGGGACAGCCACCAGGAAGCCCTCTGAGAGCCCATGGTCTGCTCCAGGGTGTTCTCCTGCAAGGGGATGCTGCTAAACCCTCTTACCTTCCTGCCTTTCCATGCAAGGCACAAGGACATTCTTACTTCATGCACCAAAACAAACGTCATCAAATTAAATTAAAACAATAAATACGGGATGATGAAAGGTCTAATTTCACTGCTTTTATTAGAGTGCATGATGTTAATCTTGAGTCCTCTTTTCTGGAGCCTCCTTTCCTCTCTCCTGCTTCAAGTGCACAGTGTCCCTGACAGAAGCACAGGAGAAATTATTTGACTTTTGCAGACTGCATTGCTAATGAGAAAATTGTTTGTTTTTATTGCAACTTGATTTATATAAATATTCACAGCGGGATAAAACTCTTGAAAAAAGCATGTCTCATTTCCAAAGTGTCCTGGGACACAGCAGGGAGCAACAAACAAATTAATTCATAAAAACTTGATATTTGGAAAACATTTTTACAATAAAGCACCTCCAGTAACAATTCCAGCTAAAACAAATCCAGATTCTTTCAGGCATTCCCACTTTTTTTCTCTGAAGAAGTTTAGGCCCAGCAAAAATATCAAAAAAACTCCTTCCTTGCATAAACAAATGGTTGCTGTTCCCAGAAATTTACACTTCAAGAACAAGAAAGTTTGAGGAAAGAAAATAAGAGGAAATGCTGACAGCATTTGGCTGCCCACTGAAATAAGTCTGTGTGGATGCATAGAGGGAGATCAAATCAGGTTTAGGACTTTCCATCACAAAAAGCCCCAGACGTGTCATTTCAGGGTGCAGCTTCTGTGAAACAACGCAAGTCTCACGTGGAGCAAGGGGACACGGCAGGTCTGGTCAAGGCTTTGCAAAAGTGCCTCTCCAGAGCTTTCCCTTGCAATTTTTCCTTTGATGCTCAGATCAGCTGCACACCTGCACGACTTGCTGTCCCTGTTCTGCTTGGCAGCTGAGCACTTCTAATACAACGTCTATTTTCATTCTGTTTTCAAAGAAACCTGTTTTGCAGCCCTACAAAACTAACGATGTCTTTTGATTCAGCAAATCCCTGCAATTGCCCAGGCACAAACATCCTTCCAATCCATCTTCCTTTTCCCCTTCCCATTGAGTGATGAATTTAAAGTGGATGCAGTCTGCACAATCCCCATTAAATCCAATTCAAATTTGAATTTAAATTGTACCTGCAACTATTTCAGGTATTTGATTTTTCCACCTCCTTGCCTAAGTCATTAGTGGCATTTGGAGCCACACAGACCAAGATAATTAAAGGGGTTTTAAACTTCACGTTTGAAGTGCTGCTTGGAAAGACAGGTCCTGCTTGCTACCTCCCTCCCAATTCCCACTTTCCTATATTAAATACCTTTGGAGGCCTGAGGATGCCCCTGGGTAGAAAATCCTTCTTCCATCCACCGTAGGCTTCCAGCAGAAGAGTGTCCTTCCTTGAAATACCAAGAACCAGCCATAACCAAAGCACAACTTTGGAAAATGGGGCTAAGGATAGACTTAGGCGGAATCAGCTCTACATGAACAATTTGCAGTAGGTAATTGCCTGAGCTGTTATTAAACACCTACAGCAATGGCATCTCCAAGCCCTCTCAAGCCCTGGAGTCAATATAGTGTCTGCTGCAATGGCACTTTTTGTAGCTCATGAACTGGACTACTGGGTGAACAGGTTTCTACTAGGTAGGTCTGCAATACATGTGACCAGTATTGTCATTTCCAGCTCGTTTTTATGAGGAGCATCCCAGGTGCGGCATCATGATTGTTAGAAAGCTTTTCCCACATCCAATGAATCATGATCCTGCTGCAACCCAAGCCCATGACAGCTAATCTTCTTCCCAGCAGGTACGACAGCGGGTTGCTCTTCACAGCAGCTTCTTCAATGTGGCAGATGCTGATACCCAAGGCACAAATCCCAGGGCCTCTTGGATCATTTCTCTAAAACAGCTGGAGACTTCCCAAGTGGACTAATGTCAACACGTCTTAGGCTAATGAGCATGCCTACCTGTCTGCTACATATAATGCCAGGGGCTGAATTGGGGTGGAAACTAAATCCCCTTTACACCATTGCACCGATTCTTTCAAGACAGGCAACGACATACAGAGTGCTGCAATGAAAACACTTAATTTCCCAAAGCTTTCTATGAGCTACTTTTCAACAGCTCTAAATTATCTTCCTTTAAAAGCAATATAAACATTCCTCCACCTGCCTTACACATACACACATACACACAGAGATCAATATTCTCTATTTATTGTTTCAACATTTTTCAAAAAGAAGTTTTAGAAACTAGCACTGCTGCTAGCATCATCCAGATGAGAAAACTTCCTAACTTTCATCATTGGATTCTGCAGACATTAAGGTTTCTCTCACTGCTGACTTCAGGAGGACTACAGCTAGGTCAGTAACAAGCTTGCTTGAAAACCCTACTTTACCAAATAAATATTTAACATATTGGATTCTGTAGCAAGTCTTCAGAGACAAGTGTCTGACATTTGAGTAGTCTTGGGT